AGGAGGAAGGGAAGAGAAACAAACAACAATGGATTCTTTTTGGACGTTTGTTGATACGGCCTTGCTGTGTTCGAACGTTAACCCCCCCCGTCGTCTCAATTGTTATCAAGCCACCTGTAGTTGACATGGGAAATGACAAGGCGCGCGCGTGGAGAGGGAGCTCTGAAACAGTTGCGTTGCGTCGTCCTCAGTTTCGCTTGGAAATGTTCAGTACTAGCACAAATTTCTTATTCTTATCGTCGCTTGGAAATGTTCAGTACTATCACGAATTTCTTATTCTTATCGACAGAGGTAGATAGCAGACAAAGATGGGAAAATATAGCGTGGAAATTATATGTACGGTGGAAAAAAAATGAAAACCGATTTAAAAATTACATCTTTGGTGGAAATATGAAACCGATTTTTTTTTAAAAAAATTGTAGCTTCGGTGGATACAGAGCCTCCCAATGTTTAACTCGTGTTCAGTGGTCTGAAGATTAAATCTATGATACCCACAGGAGACATGCTTTTGTGTCTCGGATGACTGTTTTCTTGACTGACATGAGAAGAAAAAAATAGCGCCACACAAACAAAAAAGTTTTCCTGCGCGCTGATTTCGCTAGGCCGTTTTGCGCAGCTTCCTTTTGTTTTCCTGCGCGCTGATTTCGCACCCTCCTCAGCTTTGGTTTGGTTTTCGAATTATTGATTGACAATGTGATGCGCATTCCCCCAAAATACTAAGCAAGCATGAGAGATGAGAAAAATACAGCTGAACGTCACTAAACCCGCTGCAAAGTAAAAAGATTACGTGTGAGCTAATGGTGTACCCCTTTGAGCCGACGGCTTTTCCTCTTTTGTACTGTCCCTTGCTCTGCTGCTCCAGTAGTTTTCTGTTTGGACATGACTGAACTCCGGCATTGAAAAACTAATTTAAATAAAAACAAAAAATTTTATTAGCCCAAATTCTAAAATTGGCCAGTAGTTTTCTGTTTGGACATGCTTTGAACTCTTGCAAGATCAATGAGCGCTTGAATCTTGAAGATTTGGATAGCCTGACAACAGCTCTGTAGGAGTATACTCTATCTGGAGCTAACCTTTTCTTTTGGGCAAAATAAAGAAGATTTCTGATTGCTCCTAAAATAAAAAAGGATTTCTGATGCTCCAGCAGTTCCTGTTTGAGCCTGAAGCCCAACGGTTTTTTGTTATATTATGGGCTTGCGGCTACTGGCTACTGGCTACTGCTTTGTATCTTGGAGATCATGTGGGAGGCGCTCAGACCGTCGGATTTCTATCTTGGAGATCATTGACAGTCAGTCAGTGCTGCTGGTTATATATGTTCGTTAAACCTTTTTGCCAAGGAGGAAAAAAAAGATTTCATTTCACCCACCTTCAAAAACACCTGAGAACTGATGCCCTGTTCGCTTGACTGATAAGTCATAGCTGAAAGTATTGTTAGCTGATTTATTGTGAGAGAAAAATATTATTCGTTGGCTAAAAAAATACGGTTTATAAGGCTAGCGAACACAGCGTGAGCTCTCGGCCGGTGCCATTGTAACGTTCCTTGTCGCGCCGACGGGTTCGGATGGGTAAGCAGCCGTCGGTCGCCGGCGGGCACGGGAGAAGTTGGGAGTAAAGGGAAGAACGGAGGAGAGAGTACCCAGATAGCGGTGGTTCACTGGATTTCTCCCTAGCGAATGACGAATCCACCCGTACGGATCCTTTTTCTGTGCAGTTCCTTTTCTTTAATTATTCTGTGCCGTTTATTTTTCTTTACAGGTTCTATTTCGTTCTTAAATATTTTTCCCACCTTCCGTGGCACGTAGATATATTCCGTACATTGGTCAGATTTATCTCGTGGCATTGGCTGCACATGTAGAAACGTTTTTTTCTTTCTTTTTTCTTTTTACCATTTTCCTCTTTTATATATTTTATAAGTTATACTACATAGTTATTTTTCGTACATAGTTTTATATTTCTGCTATTACATTATGATATTAATTTGTACAACTAAGTTATAGAATATAACTTATACGTCCAGCTTTACATCTAAGTCATTTATGAAGTTATATATATTTAAGTTATACAAATAAGTTATACACTTAACTTTTCTTTTTTTTTAAAAAAAGGTTACCAAGCTATACACGTAACTTTTATGCACAACACATTATCATAACTTATATATCATAACTTTTACAATATAAAATTTTGCAGAGGAGAACTTATAAACACAAGTTTTTATCTTAACTTTTATTAGACAACGTTGACAAGTTGTATAGAATAACTTAAGTACATAAATTTTAGAATAACTTATTAACATATGTTGTGTTTCATAACTTTTTTATATAAGTTGTGTTTTCATAACTTTTGTATTTACAAGTTTTGATATAAGTCATATGTTATAAATTATACGTTACGTGAGTACACATAAATTGCTATAAGAAAAAAAATTCTTCGAAACACAAGCAAGTGGGGTCTAGTTTTATGCGCCTCGTCATATAGAACACACCGGTGCAGACGTAATTAAAAACGGATACACCGTTAAGTAGTTATAGCATTTTGAAATAAATATTTTTCTTTTTTTAATAATGTGAGCAGCTTGGGAAAGTGCGCCTGAGAGGAGAATGGCTGCTGCGCGCGTGGTTTTATTCAGAAAATGATACAGGCGGATGTTTTTTTTGTTAGAAAAGAAAAGGTAGCCTCTCCGAAAATCATTCGCTAGATTTAAATTAGGCGGGCGTTCGCCATTTATTCTGGCCGGAGAGAGTACTACTTGCGTTGTACAGGGCCCCCATCAGGCCAAGTCATGGGCTCATGGGCCAGACAACAAGGCACGCAGGCCCGTCTACCCTGTTACACGGCACACTGAGGCATCATGGGCCGTGACAGCCATGTTACCTCCACACAGTCACTGTAAGCCGGGGGCGGTCAGGTCACGCTTGCTTGCGAATTGGTTGGCCCATGCATGCACGCTACCTTTCATTGTTCATCGATGCAAGCCTGCAAATGAAGCAAAGCCGATAGTTTCAAAAAAGAAGCAGCAGCAGCAGCAAAGCCGATAGATATAATACTCCATCCGGCCAAAAAAGAACGTGGATCTCGCTTTTAACTAGGTTTATGGAAAAATATAATTATTTATATTTCTAAATATACTCATTATATAAATATATTACATATTTAGTCTAATTATACTTGTAACATCATAAATATTAATATATGTATTTATATATATTTTGTTAAACTTTATTATTTGATTTCTCAGTTCTTTTTTTGGAGGGAGGCTACAATGTCCAATCCATATAGCCAGCCGTGTCTAACTGGAACACTACGAAGGAATTCCTTGTTTGGAATATATACATGGCTCCAGTCAAGGAGTGCACATGTTGGGTAGTAGAGCTTGCAGCCATTGCTGACGACAGGACGACAGGAAGTGCCAACATGTCACGTGGACATGCAGACCTACAGGTCCAGCAAATATGCTTGCTCGTTGCAGGATCTCAGCTATAATACAGTATTTTTCTCTCATAACAAAACAGCATCAGCCGACTTATAAACCACAAATCAAACGAATGATCTTCTTTGATTCTTTCGGCCGGACGGCCGGTGATGGGCCATATATATATATGGACTGACATCTGATTGCTTGAGAACATACAGTTTCACAAAGACAAAGAAACATCAAATCAGTAGGTGCATGGGCTTGATTTCCAACTTTCAATTCATCAGCAGCTCTCCAGCTTATATAGTCCAATTCAATAAAGGGTATTGGTTGCCATACTGTGTGGAGCGAGTCTGTGTGATTAAAACAATAAACAAATAAATAAACGTTTTTGGAAGAAAAAAACATCATAACTAAATAAAGATACTAGGCATTTTGGTATATATGCTAAATCTTTTCAACCTTTTTACTTTGGCTACACAGGCTACAGCTGTAGATACTTAGATTTGGTTTCTGGGAATATATAATTGTATTCCTTCAAACTATGGTTTTCAATAGTTATTTCATTCGTTCATCATATTTCAGTAATGATCACTATAAATCTTCACAAAATAAACACCCAAGTAAAATATAGCTAGGCAAATGGATTTCGAGTGCTAAGAGATCGGCATTTACTATTAGTATTATATTAGCAGTGCAATTAATTGGAAAAATTATATTCAACATCATATCAGCACCGTCACTCAAGAGTCAATGCAAGAATATTGCAGTTATGGTTAACCATCATAAGGGCACTCCCAACGTAGAAACCATCATAGTTTTTATGGATATTAATTGTACTATCACATAAGCGTTTTGCTGATGTGACAAGATAGTTATTAAGAAGAGAGAGCAAAAAAACATACAAACCGGGTCTAAATTAGACACCATGTCTACACGAGAACCAAAACATGAAGTGATGCGATTGGTAGAGAATGGAGAGAGAATTTATGTGATTGGATAAAAATTGTTCTGTACAAACTATTCATTGGGACCATGGTTTCTATATATAGTGTCTATGAAAATTAATAGGTATAGAAACTACATGTAGTTTTTAGCATTGGGACTGCCCTAAGCAGTTCCCACTGTGTTGATCAAACTTGCCTGATGTCATGACAAGAAGGGACCTGCGAAGGAGGGCAAGGAGGCTAGCGTGGAAGCGCAAGTACGTGGCGCCAAAGGTGGTTCAATCCAGTAGTGGCTGACGGGTGGACTAGGGAACCCAAGGAGAATGACATGTGGACCCTACAGGGTAGCAGGCACTGCGTGCCTTATAAGCCGTGAACGGCCTGTAACGAAGGAGATAGACATAACTGAATTCTGAACCAATTCTGAATGAACCCTGCATCTCGTGGACTCCTGTCGCGCCAATCCAAATCCCAAATTCCCAACCCTAGTTCTTGCTGATTTCTTCCTCAAATTCCATTCTAGTTATCTGGTTCGTTACATTGGGTACTCGGAGCAAGGTTTCTTGGCCAGAATTTTTTTCCCGCCTCCCTGAACCGGTCTGGCGCTGAAAAAGAAGCCGACGAAGGTTGAGCTCCTCATGGCGGCAAAAGCAGAAGCCAGCGCCAAGCAGTACCAGGGTATCGAGCTTCTCCTCCAGCAGTTGCTCGATAAGGTGTCGGGCCTTGAGTCATGGCTCTCGTCGGTGGATTCCTCTCTGGGGATGCTGCTCCAGAACGCGACGGAGACAGCAGGTCGGGTCCAGCAGTTGGAGGCAAGACCACCACCACCACCACCACCACCACCATCGCTACCGCCTCTACCGCGCCCGCATCAGCCATCGCCGGGTTTCCCCACCCTCGACCTCAACACAGCGACACCGGGCGGGTCGCACTCGTCAACGAGACCTCCGCCCCAAACACTGCAGGAGTTGCCGGAGAGCCTCCTTGGACCGCATCCTCGACAACCAGTTATTGGTATACCTCTCGACCCCCATTCCTCGTCGATGATGGATGCCGTCGCGACGCAATTTCATTTGTTGGCTCCGCGTCATGGTCCGATGCCTAAAGTTGATTTCCCCAAGTTTAGTGGTGATAACCCGCGTCTCTAGAAAGATCATGCTGAGATATACTTTGAGGTCTATGCAATTAGCGATGCTCTAAAAACTAGATTTGCTACTCTGAATTTTGAGGGTGCCTCATCGACTTGGTTACAGTCAGTTGAGCTTTGTGGTCGCATTACCTCTTGGCCTGCGCTCTGTGCCGCTGTTTTTGACCAGTTTGATCGGGATCAGTATCCGATTTACCTCAAACAGTTTGACAGTCTCCAGCAATCTGGTACAGTGACCAAATATTTTGACCAGTTTCAGCGGTTGGCTCATCAGATTTTTCTATACAACAATTCTTATGATGATGTTTACTTTGTCACACATTTCTTGGGAGGTTTGAGGGATGACATTCGAGCACCTTTAGTTTTGCATCGTCCCAAAGATTTGGTCACTGCTTATTCTTTGGCCCTCATTCAAGAGAGTGAACTGCAGAATGGTAAAGCCCGTGGCTGGAAAACATACCATAAGCTGTTTAAGCCTGCCAACAATACTGATAGATTTAGGACACCTTTCAAAAGGGATGAGATCCAACAATTACCCAAACCAGTTGCTGATGATAAATGGTCAGCCCTAAAATCTTATTGAAAAGCTAATGGCCTATGTTTCACATGTGGGGAAAAATGGCAGGGAAGGAATCATAAGTGCCTAGACCAAGTTTCTATCAATATGGTTTAGGAATTGATGGATATGTTTCAGTTGAATACTTAGTATGATTTTGATGGGGATGATACTAAGCCTGAACCCGAACAGGTGGTTTTAGCTGTCCAAGCACCATCATCATCTGGCATTGCAGCACCTAAGAAAAGAAAGACTATGAGATTCAGAGGTTTCATTGGCAAGCAAGAAATTCTGATCTTGTTGGACTCTGACAGTACATCCACTTTTATCAGTGAAGACCTAGCTAACTCTCTGAATTAGAATGCCCAACCTTGTGAATCACTTAAGTACACTGCTGCAAATGGCACCACTATGCTTTCTGATACTGTCATACCACAATTGCATTGGTTTATTCAGGGCCATTCTTTTACATATGATGCTAGAATTATTTCCCTTAGTGGTTCTGACATGATATTGGGAACAAATTGGTTAGAGGACCATAGCCCTATGTGGGTGCATTAGAAGAAGAAATTGTTGACATTACCCCACAAAGGTAGAAGAATCAAGTTGAAGGGTCTACATCATCATGTAGCTAAATGTGTGCAGATCTCACCACATAAGTTGAAAGGGTTGCTTAAGAAGAAGGCTACTACACATTGTGTCCAGTTGAAGCCTCACTACTAAAAAAGTGCACATCTGAGACGATCTAATAATGAAATAGTAAATGCTAAAAGCGTCATGGAAAGATATCTGTGACGAAGTTATGGCAAAATTCTGTTTGTCATCTTTGTATCGTCACAAATGTTGCACTGTGACAATTTGTCGTGTTTCATCACAGATAAGTTTACATCCGTGATGATTTGGGCACCGTCACTGAACTATTTCAGCAGGCGTTGTAGTGGACACGTGTATGATGGTAATGTTGATGCGTTTCATTCGCTCAGGACGACACGTGTCTTAAGCTAAGGTTTACACGTGTGTGACTATGAGTACAGCACGTGTCCTAAAATAAGGTTGACACATGTTTCAATATGAGGTCGACACGTGTATGTTCTGTGAGGTCGACACGTGTATTTCTGAGAGGTTGACACGTGGCATTATCTTAACGCTGGCGATGACGTGGCAGTGCGTGAACGATGACATTTTTTCGTCATAAATTCTTTGATTGGATAAAATACAGGCTGTAGCCGTGCCTGATCACTCATTCCATAAACAGAACATAATTTACCACATACAATAATTCATACATCATACACAGTTTATACATCACATGTTTAAATGTTCTCACAACCAAAGTTCCCAAACACAGGGGAACCACAAGTTCCATGGGTTCACATCACTTGAACCACAAGTTCACAAACAAGTTCCACAGACCAGGCAATCACAGAATAAGTTCACAAGCAACAACTGACAGACCAAGTTCAGCAACTTATTATGAGTACCAGCAGTAGCGACACGAGTACCAGCAGTAGCGACACGGCCCAGCACAACCATGGACTGCAGAGGAACCTAGGCGGGATAGGAACAAGCTAAGTAGCTCAATTACCTGAGTTGAGGCCCAAGATGCGCTGAAGGATCATATCATTAGCTTCTTGTTTCTTCTTGAACTCCTCCAGCTCTTGCTGGTTCTTGAGCACAACTTCTTGGGTCCTGGCCATGGATTCTTCTGTTTCTGCAGCTTTCTTCTTCAGATGGACCAGTTGTTCTTCAAGATTATCAGCCCGTTCCTTCTCCACCTGTAGCTGTTCCCAAAGTTGTGCCTCTCTTACAGCTGATGCAACAGACTTGCTTATTGGTGTTTCAATACCAGCATTCTTGAGGAATGTACAAGCTACACTGGTTTGTGAGAGAACCTTCGAAACTATCTCAGTACTAGATCTTGGTGTCTCCAAGTCTTGAGCAGGCTGGGCCAACATATCTTCCATGGTACTCTATAGCAAACAGGTGCAACATTAGTAAGTTCATTATGCAGAATCTATTTCACAAGCCAAGTTATGAAAACCATCACAAAACATATTGCTGCATACATTTTAAAGTACATGAACATCAAAGATATGAGTATCCTATCCATGTAATAATGCCATCCAGCAAGCATATAGGGACAACTATTTATTTCCTAAGCACAGATAGGACCATCCTGCTAGCATATAGGAAAAGTAACAACCAACAATCATATAGGAACATCTTTTCTATGTACTAATCTCACCCAGCAAGCATATAGGAACATCAACATAGCATTTCACAGTCATGTACAGACAAACCATGCACTACCTTCTAGAAAGCATGTAGGAACCCAACTTAGCATTTCTCAACCATGCACAACCTTCCAGCAAGGGTGTAGGAACCCAACTTAGCATCTCATAAGCATATAGGAACACAACTTAACATTTCAGAACAATGCACACAACATATGATTCCATATATAGGCATAAACACATGAACAACTTTCTATGTACTCATCCCCTCCAGCAAGCATGTAGAACAACCTTCCATTTCATAAAGAACTGATAGAACCATTGGCACACAACATCTAAGCATATGAACATACTTTCCATGTACTAATCCCATCCAGCAACTGTAATTAGCATAAATTCACACATATACTCAATCCCAACAAGCAATGATATGTAGGCACTTACAACTGTTTCTTTGACCACATCAGTCATACCCTTCTTCTTGCTGGTATGCAATTCCTTGAAGATCTCAACTGCATCCACCTCTCTGTCCTTGTTTTTCCTCCTTTACATAATTATAGCGGGAAATGCAGCAAAATTAGCTTTTGTTTGTAGACAACTTTATATGAAATAGATATGTATGTTTAAATCAGATACAATGTATTGTCCCAGTGTTTTAGCACTTACAAATGCGTACAAGTGTGAGATGTAGCTTCAAGATCCCGTCGCTTGATGGTGTCTAACCTTCTCACGGTTTATCTTGTTCTTTCAAGCAGTTTCCTATTAGACATATGTAAATGGAAGACAACATAGAGAGAACAGAAAACTTTCTTTACAACATCATGATACCTTTGCTTTTGGAGTAGACCACATCACCACGAGTGCCTTCCACTCGTCATCAGAAATACTAGGAACAGGGGAAGTAGTGGGGACTTCATTAGCTGGTATACCATTGAAGTACTTGTTCTTCAACAAATATCTCCTCTGGCGTACATCACCTTGGAGTATATTGCTGCAGGCTTGAACTATTGGCTCATCCTTGTCATCAACTGCTAACCTAGCCTGCAAAAGTCAATCACCCAGCGAAGTTAGCTCTTAGCATTTGGTATAGTTACTTATTGAAGGTACCAAATAGATATGGAAGGTATCAATTTACTTACAGATAACTGGCCCATGAATTCTTTCAGTTGGCTTTCATCTTTCTTGTAATGTTTCCAGTGAGTTAGGATAGGCATGCTCTTCCTAGTGATAAGTCCAGCCTCTGAAGCTAGCTTAGTAGCTTGTACAAGCTTCTCTGGCCTTCTCTTCCCTGCAACAATTTCAATTGACAATCTCTTTCCCATAGATTTTGTCATATTGTCCAACAATTTTCCTTTTGTTGGTGGTCTTGGCTTTCTTGGAGCACGTTGTTGAGCTACAAAAGTGATGCTGTTAGTGTCAGAGTAATCCAAGTAAAGCAAAGAATGTGAGAAAGCATGGTCTATTACTTGCCTTGAGGAATAGCATCTAACTCTTCTGTGACCTCATCTTCATTTGTATTATTTGGGTCATCAAATACAGAAAAGTCTAGAACAGGACTTGGGGGATGTTCTTCTTCCCCTTGTCCCACAGTTGCTGTCTCATTGTTCTCTGGTAGCGGAGTTGACTGTCCCTCAGCCATAACTGTGGGGTGGTTGGTGATGTACTTCTTTCCAGACCTGGTTGCAACTCCAGGAGTTGCCTCACTGCCGCCAATTGCCCTGACTCTTTTCGTGCCACCTGGAGGCATCTTGGTCTTCTTCTTCCACTTTGTGCCCCGCTTGTTGCTTTTCTCAGTTTCCTAATACAGAAGGGTAAACAAATCTGTTATTAGAACCTGCATTAAAATGTACATCGCACAGTGTAATGTAAAAAAAACCACCACAACTGTTTCATCTTCCTCTTCCTGGCAGCCCTCAGCTCCAGGAAGATACTTCGATGAATCTGACCCCTCCCCATGACCATTCTTGTTTCTTGGCTTGTCCGGGTTCTGAGAACTTGCATTTGCCATGCTTTCATTAATAGAAGCGGCCAAGGTACGAATATCCAAGGATTCCATGAACCTTTTGTTCTCCGTGACTTGCAAGTCCCTCAGCCTTTCATAGTACCCTATTTATTTGTAAATGAATTTTAGTCCAATTGATCCCTACACCATAAAACCTAAACAATAAACCCTAACATCTTACCCGTCATCCGTAAAACCTAAACCCTGCC